TCCTCAAAAGAGCCCTCCAACCTGTGGTTGCCCCAGAGGCGTGGGCCGGCTTTGGGGGCTGTGCTTTGGGGTCTGCCTTTTGGGTTGGCTGTCAAATTACGGGCCAGGCTGGCTGCTTCTCCCTCTGCCCGTCTGGGAAGCCTCAACACCTGCCTGCTTCCTGGCCCCTGGAGGGTCCTGGCAGCATGGTGGGTCCTGCTCCCTGAACCGCAGAGGGGGCAGCTAACAGGTGGGCCACCTGGTGAAGAGGCCACTCACACCCGGGATGCCAGCTGAGAAGAAGGCCGGCGTGGGTGCCATAGCCGGGGCAGCCCCTTAGACGAGGGTCTGGAAGGCCTTCCAGGAGGATGGCCTGGCCCCAGGTGAGGGGGATGGCAGGCTGAGGAGCCCTGGATAGAAGTGGGGACCTCAGGGCTGAGGCCAGCGTGTTGGCACGCTGGGGTGGCATGGGTGGCTTGCGTGCCTTGGTGTCCGAGAGGCTCCCGCCAATCTGCACAATTGTTTGTGAGCGCTAAAGGCAGCCCCAGTCATGGGGACACAAGAGAAGGCACTGGGACACAGCCCGGACCCCAGCCTTCCGTAGCCCCAGGCAGGGTGTTGATAATGGGGTCCTGAAGGCCTGGGTTCTGGGAGGGCACTGGCAGACAGGATGGAGGGTGGCGGTTGCTTTGGGGGTTGTGGCAGGCTGGGCCCCTCAGTGCCTGGTTCATACCATGCGTCATCACTGTCCTCACTGTGTGAGGGGCCCAGATTTGGGGGCCTGGCTCCAGGGAGCGCTTGGTGCTGGTACTGCCAGGAGGTAGGCATGGCCAAAGAGGTGCTGAGGCCTTTCTGGGGAACCCCAGTGCTCCCTGCAAACCCAAAGGCTGGGCTGGACTCCTCCCTGCCCACCCGAGTGGACCCCTTCACCATTCCTGTTTCTGACACTGGGACGGTCGCTGTGAGGCCTGGGTAACCAGCAACAGCAGAACGGGGCAGGGTGGTGGAGGCTGACTCCAGGGAGGCCACACTTTCCGGGGATGATACCGAGGCAAGCAGAGGGGAGAAAGCCACACCCCCCATCCTCCCAAGCCCCCAGCTTCCTGGGGGTGAGGGGTTCCTGTCCTCCTTTCTAACATGCCAGGATTCCAGGGGTGGCAGCTGTAAGGCTGGGCTGGGAGGGTCCCTGCATGGGGTGCTGGGGTGTCAGAGTTTCAAAGCTTCTGTGCGTCCCGGCCCCTGCATGGCTTAGCTGTGTCTGAGCAGAAGCCCCTCCTCTCAGAAGCAGGTCCTGCCTCACTCCCTAGAGGCTAGTGGCTGGGTGACTGGACACAGACTTGATGTTTCACCCAGCAGGAGGATGGGCTGCAGGACCCCACCCCCACCATCCTTCAGCAGGTGGACAGACCCCTCACTCACCTCAGGAACCGCACGGGGTGAGCAGGCAGTGTAGCATCAGTGCCAGGAGCCCAGCATCCCTTCGGACCAGCTGCACTGCAGCCTTCAGCCGCAGAACATGCGGGCCAAACCGCTACCCCTCCCAAGGCCCAGCTTTCTCCCGCTCAGGCACTTTTGGGCATGTGTGGGCGTGGCAGGGCCTCCTGGGCTCTTGTCATCTTACAGGTGTGGAGCCACTGGTCTTCTCTGTGGTTCACGTTCTTGCCACTTGACTAGGAAGGGCTTCCCATTCCGGTAAGGTGGTAGGCCCCCTGATATGCTGATGGTTTTTCACTTTTATGTCTGCTGTCTGTCTGGAATTATTCCGAGGCAGGAAGTGAAACAGGAGCTTGCTCTGAAGGGCCTGGGCCACGCCTGGGACTCCTTACTCCACCCTGTGGATCTCCGTCCACCCCGGCACGGCGGGGGCTTTGGGCCCCTCAGTCCACTCTTCCGGTCTCCCACCCTCCGTCCTGACATCAGTGTCCCATCTTTTCATGGGTTTCCGGTGCTGTCATTTACTTGTGGTAAAATGCACCTATTTTAAGTGTGCAGTTTGCTTTCTGACACATAACTATGACTGCACACCCACCACCATGGCCCCGAAATCCCCAGGCTGCTGTCCTCTGCCCCCAGCACCCCTCCAGCTGCTGTGGCTGGAGCCGTGCCAGTGGTCACTTGGCTCTTTGTGGTGTGACTGTGAGCCTCGAGGAGTGCGTGCCGACAGCTTCTCCTGTGTGTGGGGCTGAGGCGGGCACTGCCTGGTCACGCTCACCATTGATCCATCTGCCAGTTGCTGGCACAGGTGTCCCTGCCCTCTGGGCAGCTGGATCTGGCTTCACCCCAGCCCCACACCAGGTCCCAGTAGGCCCCGAGCCAGCTCCTCTCCGCCCTGGACAACATGCAGCTCCCTTGGCTGGGCTGTGATTCAGGGGAAGCAGCCCCCATAGGAGGACCTAGTAATGTGTGTGTTCCAGACACCTGCTTGGGATTTTGATTGAGGTGATAGGAAACCTTTGCTGTGAAGTAGGGACAGCAGGCCTCTTCCCAGCACCAAGTGCCCCTCCAGGCTGGCTCATGCCCTGGAGGGCCTCTGCCCTCGCCCTCCTAGATTTTAGCAGGTTAGAGACCTGTGAGTCTTGCATGCTTATCAGCAGCCCACTTCCTAAGTCCCTTTTTATTGTTTTAACCCTAAGAGTCACAGATCAGGGGGACAGACAAGCACAGGGCCCCCGTCTCCCAGACACCCAGCCTCTGAGTCAGATGTTCCCACGCTCTGGCCACTCACAGCCATGGTCCCTTGAGGCAAGCCTGGCCCATCCCTCCCAGATCACAGCAACGCTGTTTATTTTATTACCTTTGTCATGGTTGTATTTCAGTCACATAAGCATTACCAGAATTCAGTCTCCTTTGTTAAGAACTTAAAATATCAGAGTTTAAACCAAGTCTTCTGTGTCCCCCACCCTCACCATCCCCAGAGGGGACTGCCGTCTCCTGGTGGACACGTGACCTCCAACCCTTTCAAAGTTTTAACCAACACAGACGCCGACACATGTACACGTACGTAAGCACGCATGTGATACTCGTGTACATAAACGCCCATGCACACATAGCAACTCATGTACACATACCCGAGTGCACACACCCACGTACCCGTACCCAAGAGTGCGTGTGCCCGCATACCTGAGTGCACCCATGTACACGTGCCCGAGTGTGCCCGTACCTGAGGGTGTGCCCAGGTACACGTAACCAAGAGTACGCATACACATACCTGAGTGTGCCCCCAAACACAGGCACGTATGTCCAGACGCCACATGATCCCCCTTTGCAGTTGCCTCCTGCACCTCTCACAGTGCAGTGTGGGTAAAGCTCAAAAGCCGCGCTGTGAGGGCAGCCAGTCGCAGAAGGTCCTTGCTGCCCGACCGTTGATGGGGAAGTTCAGAAAGGACAGCTCTGTAGAGACAGAAGGGGATTTGGGGTTTCCCAGGGTTTCTTTTGGGGGTGATGATAGACGCGTCACTGTGACTGTACTAAACACCGTGAGTTGTGTCAAGCGGGTGAGTTGTATGGTACGGGAATTATATCTCAAGTCTGAGTCCCTGGCAGTTGCTCTGGCCCAGTACCCACCCCAGACGGTGCCTCGTCCACAGTAGACATTCACAGCTCACGGTGCTAGAGGCCACAGGTGCAAGGTCAGGGCATGGTGCATTCTTCGGTGAGGACTTCCTGGGTCACACGGTGGAAGGGGCGAGGCGGCTCCCTGGGGCCTCTATGAGGCCCTGATCCTGTTCATCCACTCAGGAGGCTCCACACTCATGACCTCATCACCCTTCACCTCCTCATGCGGTCACCTGGGGGTAAGGACTTCAACATGTGAATTCCAGGCAGGCAGAAACGTTCAGTCCACAACTCAGTGAAGCTGCCTAACAGAAACAAGAAAGAAGGAACTGGGAGGAAAATAGTATTGAAGGTCGTTCTTACCAAGCTCATTCCTGTAAACTGCCGTGAAGTCCTTCAGAGCATGGGCCCCTCCATCGCCCTTCCCCATCAGTGGCCACAGGCCATGTTCTCTCCCAGGCCACCTGTATGTGGCCACTGCCCATCCACACCCCGCGAGTGCTGAGTGAGTTTCTCTGGACGAGACGGAGGAGTGGGGCTGTGCAGCTGCTGTGATCAGCCCCCCTGAGGGTGCCCCACACTGTCCGGACACTCAGCCCCTCCGAGGGTGCCCCACACTGTCCGGACACTCAGCCCCTCCGAGGGTGCCCCACACTGTCCGGACACTCAGCCCCTCCGAGGGTGCCCCACACTGTCCGGACACTCAGCCCCTCCGAGGGTGCCCCACACTGTCCGGACACTCAGCCCCTCCGAGGGTGCCCCACACTGCCTGGGACCCTCAGCTGCCTCAGCAGCACTGGGCACCAGGCACCTAGCACGGTGTCCCATGGGCACAGGACACCAGGCCTAGAGCTTGGCTGGCCCCAGGCACATAACGCAGCGTACTGTGGAACTTGGCACCAGGCCTGGAGCTCGGCCGGCCCTGGGCACATAGCGCAGTGTCCTGTAGCCTTATGGAGCCACATCTCCAGCCCAGTTGGTATCCTGGTTCTCCCCTTTGCTAGGGTGCCTCTGCTGGACCCTGGTTGAAAGTGGGTATTGTGTCCTGGGGCTCTCCGTCATCTGCCTCTGGCCTGATGGGTGGGGGCCCAGCAGGGTCCACATCTCCTGGTTCTGGTTCCACCTGGAGGAGGGCAGATGTGCCAAATGCCAGTGCTCCCCCAGGCCACGCCAGCAGCAGCCTTGGTTCCCGATATCCCCCAAACCCCATCTTCACTCAGACCCCTGTATGAAGCCTGCTGCTCTGAGCAGAGAGGGGCTGTGTGCCGCCAGTGTGAGCACACGTTCAGAGATGCACGGAGCTCAGGACCAAGCGTGTTCACCTCGTACACGGGGCGTCCAGAAGGGCACATCCCGCCTGGCCCTGCTGGAAACACCCAGACTCGTGCGTAGGCATCGGGTGCAGGGGCCCTGAGGACGAGGACCACCCTGACCGGACCGCCTCTGACCCCTTTCTCTCTCTCCAGGCATCAGTGGGCTCCGAGAAGCTCTTTGCCCCAGAAACCGATAGAGGTAAGTGCGTTTCCTCAGCTCAATTCCTGGGCCTCTGAAGGGACGTGGTGTGCCCCGGGTCTTGGTGGCAGGACGCACCTCTGAAGTCGGGTGCAGAGCTGGGTAGGACTAGGGTGCTGTGATTGCCAGGAGCAGGGGAGAGGAGAGGAAGCTGCTGAGCCCTCTTAGGCCTGGCCTTGGCTTGCCTCACAGCAGCGGTTCCCAGAGTGGAACCATTAGGAATGCATGTTCTCAGGCCCCTCCCCAGGCTCGTGGGGTCCAACCCTCGGGAGCAGCTGGCACTGAAGGGCTGCCCACCACTGTGGCTTCTGAGTTGAAGAGAAACAAGACTTAGACACTTCCTTGGTCTTTCCCAGCCAGGCCTTCAAGACCCATGTCTGAGTTGTGGGGCGGGGCGTCCACAGGCCAGCAATCCTCTCCAGATCGGGGAGCCTAGCATCTTCTTAGGGCCTCCTGGCTCTGGGATCCTGGCATTCCCAAGCCAGGAGCCTTGGGGCCTCAGCTCCTGCCTCCCTGGGTGTCCAGCTGGAACTGCCCTTTTGCTGGGGTGGCTTCCGCCAAATGTGGTTGAACAGGACAGGCCTTGCTGGCACATAGGTGGGTGCTGGCAGGGATGGGCCCTGCTGCCCTGTAGCAGGCGTGGTCTTTACCTTCAAGATGGAAGCCTGCTCACATCAGAGCTTCGCAGCAGAGCAGGTACAGCTGGGGTGGTGTCGGAAGGGGCGTGTGTGCGACGGGCCCCAGCAGAAGAGGCAGCTGGTATCTCGGGGCTGTTGAATACCCAGCTCACTGCTGCACAGACGCTGTCCCGGTGAGGGCTGCAGGTGCTAGAAGGCACAGGAAGCCCCACATGTGGGGTCTGGTCCAGGTCTGCGTGGCCCGAGCCTCTCTGCATCCTGATCACTGCTGTGACTGAGCACAGGACTGGCTTGGAGATGCAGGAGAGGGAGGTCGGGTGGGCTAAGCCGGGGAGCTGGGAAAGCTGGGGAGACAATGCCCATTGCTCCCTCTCTCCTGTGTCCTCCCTGCAGCCCCTCTGTGGGCGCTAGGTGGTGGCTGCTGTGGAAGGCCTGGCCCCAGATGAATAGTGAAGCTGGGGCTGCTTCCTGCTGCCCGTTTTTGCCTGGGAGGAGCTCCCTGAGGCCCCAGCAGACCAGGCCCCATGGTCACGTGGGCAGGCACGGCAGCAGCTGTCCCCGTGGCCTCGGCTCCACCATCCTGAGGCCCCAGGAAGGAAGTAGGGTCTGCTGGGGACATGAACGGGAAGTGCGGCGCCTGGAACCTGGCTTTGCTCCTCCTGCAAAACTGGGACCCGTAGTCATGGCAGTTCCCACCCCCCAGGCAACAGGGTCCCCTTGGCGTGGACACTGCCTGCTCCTTGCTCTTGGGGACTTGATCTGAGACCTGCCTACAGGGGCCTCAAAAGGAGAGTTGGGGACGTGCATTGGGGGAGCCAGGCCCCAGGGGCTCAGAAGTGCCCACAGGACTTGTTGGGGGGGCATGCTTAGGTAGGCAGAAGGGTGGCCAGGGAGCAGGGGTGAGCGCTGTGGGTGACGGCAGTCACAGTGGGGGCAGCCTCCCACCCAGCCCCTGCCCAGGTTTCTAGGAACACCAGGGGGTTCCATTTAGAAAAGGTGGGCACCCGCTGTGAGCGCTGCTGCTGGGTGGGGCGGACACACCCTGGGCAGGGGCACATCCGGGGCATGAACGTGAGGCGAAGGCACATGGGCTCTGGTTCCTGCATTCAAATCTGTCTCCTCTCTCATGCCAAGTCCTTGATGCACTTTAGTTTTGTCTGTAAAATGAGGTCATAGCGCCCACCCTGGGACTGATCCCTGCAAGTAACGAGCCTTCAGGCAGGTGGCCTGCCCGTTCCCCAGACTCCAAAGCCAGCTCCCTCTGCTGGGCGGGCCCGGACCCTCGAGTGAGGTTCCGCTGGCTGTGTGGCCTCCGTGCCTAACTCCGCATCATAAGTGGGGGCACAGCAGGAACCCAGACGTTGCCTGGGCACCTTCCGGAGCTCTTTGGACCGCAGGAGGGTCAGGGACGAGGCCCTGCGGACCTGAACGCAGCCGCCATGTCTCCGCAGCCCCAGCGCTTGAGAAGTCGGAGGCCAAGGCCGGGGCGGTGCCCAAGGTGTCTGGCCTGGAGCGCAGCCGTGAGCTCAGCGCCGAGTGCTTCCTGCCCGCGGCCAGCCCCGCGCCCCCTGCCGCGCCCTGCCCAGGGCCCCCTCCCGGCGCCCGCGCCAGCCCCCTGGTGAAGAAGGAGCCCCCCGCCCCTCCCCGCCACACCCCGCAGCCGCTGCCCGCGCCCCCGCAGCCCCGTGGTCCGCTCCCGACACACGTGCCTGCGTCCCTGGGCGCCTTCGCGGGCCACGGCCTCGGCCAGGCGGCTGCCAGCGGCCTGCACAGCTTCAGGTGGGGGGTCCCCACGGGAGGCGGGACCTATGGGGGAGGGACCTGTGCAGCCTCTGGTGGGGTCCTCGAGAGGCGGGGCCTACGAGGGAGGGGCTGCGCAGCCTGGGGTGGGGCCCCTGTGTGGGGCGGGGCCTGTGTGGCCTCAGGTGGGACCGCCGCGGGGAGGCAGGACCTAGAGGGGCGGGGCCCATGGGGGAGGGGCTAGCACGGTTTCCAGTGGAGTCCTTGTGGGCAGCCTCGGGTGGGGTCCTCGTGGGGGCGGGGCCTACGGGGAAGGGGCCTGCAAAGCCTTAGGTTGGGGGGCTCTGTAGGGTCGGGCCGGCAGGCACTGAGCCCCGTGTCCCGCAGCAGGAGCAGCAGCGTGGGCAGCAACGCCCATCTGGGCCTGGGGAAGCACGTGTCGCTGTCACCACACGGGCCGGGCCCCCACCTGTCTACCTCACACCTGGCGCTCCGGTCCCAGGGGCAGCACCAGCACCACGCGGCCATGTTCGCCGCGCCCCCGACACTGCCCCCGCCCCCGGCGCTGCCGGCCAGCAGCCTGGTCCTCCCAGGACACCCGGCCGGTAGGTGTCTCGGCCGCGATCTCGCCCGGGGCAGAGATGGGGATGCGGGGACGCGGCCACTGGGGAGGGGCACACAGCTTGGCCCTCCACCTACTGCGGTCTTGGCGAACCCTGGGCGCCTCTTTGGCCCCACCAGTGGGCTTTTCCCCAGGGGTCCCCGCTGGTCCACGGGCCGTATGAGTGCAGGGACGGGCAGGACACAGGTGCGCGCACACACGGACAGACGCGAGTTCACGATGAGATGTGCGTGCCCAGGCGGCTCTGGTGGGGGAGGAGGGGGCGCACGGCAAGCAGGCGCCATCTCAATGGAACCCCTACCGCGAAGGCTTCCTTCTCAGCCCCAGGCGCTTCCTCAGGCTCCAAGTCAGCCCTGCCCAGGCTGGGGACAGCCCCGTGTCCCGGGATGGGACCAGAACGCTGGCCTGGGGGTGGCTGGACCCTGGCTCCCGGGGAGGGGCTCACCGTGTTCTCTCTTGCCTCTAGATGCCAGCCTGTCGGTCTCATTCAGCCAGCCAATCATGTATTGCCAGCCTCATTCGGGGATTCTGATTGGTACTTGGTCACAGGCTCCTCTCTTACCTGCACCCCTGGGCCCGCACGTGGCGAGCGGCCACCCCGGCTTGGCCTGCCGACCCCGGGAGTGCCAGGTGACTATCCGCCTCGCCCCACCGGGAGCCCGCGGCCGACGTGCCTCTCTGTCTCTCTCTCTTTTTCTCTTGTAGATCACGAGCTGCTCAGGCAAGAGCTGAACACGCGGTTTCTGGTGCAGAGCGCCGAGCGGCCTGGCGCCTCCCTGGGCCCGGGGGCTCTGCTGCGGGCGGAGTTCCATCAGCACCAGCACACACACGAGCACACGCACCAACACACACACCAGCACCAACACACATTCGCCCCGTTCCCCGCGGGGCTGCCCCCGACGCCGCCCGCCGCACCCCCGCCGGTGCGTAGGCCCGCGTGCTGGCAGGGGGCGGGGTGGGTGTGGGGCGGGCACACGCAGCAGGCACACGCAGACACGCTCGCACGCACACCAGCCCCGGAGAAGGCAGGGGCCGGCAGCACCTCTCTGTCCGTCCGATCCCCATTACACCCTCTGGCATTCCCACCCCAAGCCATGCCACGAGGTCCCACCCTGGGCTGTGGTCCTGGGCTTAGGCAGGCACCCCGTGCCCACGTGCATGGGACACCCTTACACCTGTACTCGGTCCCCAGTGCCAGCACTGGAGGCCCACACTGGCCTGAGGGGCACAGGGACCAGGAGTCAGGGTGCCTCCCACATCCCCCGCCCTGGAGGCGGGTCTCAGGAGGGAGCTTCTGGGGGCTTAGGTCTCCTCCACTCTTGGGTTTCGTTTGGAAACTGGACAGTTTGTCAGTGACCTGTTGTGTCCCCAGCCTGACCCAGCAGCCCAGGCTTCATGCCTCCGGCCTCAGCTGGGCACGCAGAGCGCACGCAGAGCCCATGCAGGTGGGCCAAGCTCACATCCCCTGCAAGGGGACCCTTAGAATGGGGGAGGACCCTGGTCCAAGACTTGAGTTCAGAGCTGTAGGGCTGGCGCTCTAGAGGAGCCGGGGACAGCTGGCCGCCGTCTCGGGAAACACAATGCCATCCTGGTCACTGCCCAGCCCGGCCAGGTGGGCGGGGGCTGGGGCCCAGCGAGGGTGTCGTGTGTGGGGCCTCACCCTCCCCTCCTTCCCTTCCAGTTTGACAAGTATGCGCCCAAGCTGGACAGCCCCTACTTCCGACATTCCAGCGTGAGTGTGAGTGTCCCTGAGAGGTCCATCGCTGTACACACAGGCCCTGCCACAGAGGGTGGGGCTGCTCCTGGCCTGGCCTGGCCTGGTCCGTGCCGCATGGTGCCACCTCCTGGTTACAGGCAGAGGGTGATTTGGGGATCTGGGCCACCACCCTGGTGATGGGGCCAGCCCCTCCATCTGCTCTCCTTCTCTTACAGTTCTTCCCGTCCTTCCCTCCTGCCATCCCGGGACTGCCCACCCTGCTCCCACACCCCGGCCCCTTTGGGTCCCTGCAGGGCGCTTTTCAGCCCAAGGTACCGCTGCCCTTGGCAGGTGGGGCGGGCACAGCAGGTGGGTGGGATTTTGGGGGAGTGCACGACAACCTCACCAAACTCTGCCCACAACCACCCTCCCTGTACCCGTTGTAATCTGAGCACTGGCAAGAGTAGCCCCTGCTGGGGTGGGGGGCTCTGTTCTCTATGTGGCCACCATGGGAGGGGCAGGGGGTCCAGACTGGGAGCAGCCCCAGGAGGTGGTTGCCCACGAGGGGCTTCAATCTCCATGCAGAAGACACCAGTCCTCGGCAGGAGGCCCCAGTGTGGACAGCAGCCTCACCAGCCGTCCACACTGCAAGGGACCTGGTTCTTATAGGGACATCCAGACTGCAAAGGTCTTGGATTTTCTTTTTTTTTTTTTTCTTTTGAGACAGTCTTGCTCTGTCGCCAGGCTGGAGTGTAGTGGCATGATCTCGGCTCACTGTTATCTCTGTCTCCTGGGTTCCAACAATTCTCCCGTCTCAGCCTCCCAAGTAGTTGGGACCACAGGCTCGAGCTACCACACCTGGCTAATTTTTTGTATTTTTAGTAGAGACGGGGTTTCACCATGTTGGCCAGGATGGTCTCGATCTCCTGACCCTCATGATCCGACTCCATCAGTCTCCCAAAGTGCTGGGATTACAGGCGTGAGCCACTGTGCCCAGCCGGTCCTGGATCTTTTATGCTTCGCATGTACAGGAGACCCAGGGCCATCCACACCGCAGGAAACCCGGGCCTTACAGGGCCGTCCACACCGCAGGGGACCCTGATGTTACAGGGCCATCCACACCGCAGGGGACCCTGATCTTACAGGGCCATCCACACTGCAGGGGACCCGGGTCTTACAGGGCCATCCACACTGTAGGAAACCCGGGCCTTACAGGGCCATCCACACCGCAGGGGACCCAGGTCTTACAGGGCCATCCATACTGCAGGAAACCCGGGCCTTACAGGGCCATCCACACCGCAGGAAACCCGGGCCTTACAGGGCCATCCACACCGCAGGAAACCCGGGCCTTACAGGGCCATCCACACTGCAGGGGACCCTGATGTTACAGGGCCGTCCACACCGCAGGGGACCGAGGTCTTACAGGGCCATCCACACTGCAGGGAACCCGAGCAGCAGGAGGTCATGTGCCACCTCCACCAGGAGAGAAGGAACCCTGTGGTCCTCATCATTGTTCCCGGCCTTGTGTTGTAACCCCCCCCATGGAGGGGTGCAAGCCCTCAGTCCTGAAGCACCCTCACCTGTGGGCCTTGGGTTCTGAAGACAGGGCCTGGGCCATCCCCAGTGCCTGCCAATCCCTTGACCTCACAGGACCCTGCAGCCTCCCAGTCACTGCCCATAGCTGCCCTGAAGAACCCAGCATACACACCTGGGCTCACCTGGAACGCCCATGTCATGGATGAGCAGATAGGGCTTCCGAGGACTAGGCACCCCTGGACACCAGAGGGGCTGGGGCCCCCAGGCTGCCGTGGTTGAGGAATTGAGAGGATGAATGGAGACGGGACGCATGTGGTTCATCTGCAGGTGTCAAGCAGGGGTCCCCAAACTGGGACTCTCAGGGGCACTACCCTGAGCCTGGGAAGCCAGGATGCTGAGGCCCTGAGTCTGGGAGGGGGCATCCCGGCCGCGCCCCAGCACAGCTGCTCCTGGGGAAGGCGGTGCCCAGAGGGAAGGGGCAGATGAGCCGGTCCGAGCAGGAGAGGTGCGAGGCGTGGCAGCCAGTCTTTGCTGTGGGACCTCCCTTTCCCTGGAGTCCCTAGTGGGAAATGTGGCTCATCTCCCCTTAGTCCATCCAGGCTCACAGCAGCTCCTTCTGGGCTGGAGATGGGGTTCACCCTACTCGACCCCTGGCAGCAAGTGGCTTCCCAGGGAAGGTTGCCCATTCTCCCTGGCAGGAGCACCTTCTCACCGTGGCAGAAGCTGGCGGGCTGAGGGTGTGGTGGTCCTGGGTGACAGCATGGGGGCAGCCTCACACGCACACAAGCTCTCTTTTCTCTTTCTCCCCTCAGACTTCAAGCCCCATTGAGCTGGCCGGCCGGGCTGGTGCAGTTCACACACTCTTGCAAAAAGCGCCTGGGGTAGGTGTCCCTCATCCCAGGCGATGTCATGCTCTGACCCAGCCCTGTGGACTGGTGGCCAGAGCAGAGGGGCTGTGTCCCCTGTACCCCCAGGACTCGGCCTCCCGGGGGGCCTGCACCTAACACTCCTCTCCTGTCTCCACAGGTGTCTGACCCGTACCGGGCGGTGGTCAGGGTGAGTGCGGTCGGGAAGGCCTGTGGCAGGGGCGGACCCTGGTGCTCCGGGGTGGCCTCGGGGCCCTGTGAGGGCAGGAGTCTGGGAAGACGTGGGCGGGGGTGGCAAGTGCCCGCTGACCGTGCCGTCCTATTGCAGAAGCCCGGGAGGTGGTGCGCCGTGCACGTGCAGATCGCCTGGCAGATCTACCGCCACCAGCAGAAGATGAAGGTGAGGCCCGAGGGCACCCCTGGGCTGGTAGAGCACGTGTATGGACCTGTGTGGACCCCTCGCCAGCCTGGTTGGTGCCTAGAAGGCCAGGTGTGAGGCTCTGTGTCTTCACACGGGTGCATGGGTGTGATCAGATGCCTGGCCCTTCCTCTGGGCACTGGACTCTGCTCTGCACGAGTCAGTGAGGCCACAGGGCAGTGTGGGTGCCCAGGTGCCGCAGGCCCTTCCCTTATTGAGGGGTGCCAGCTGGGCTGCGGGGAGCAGAGCAGGGGCATGGGGATGCCGCACCAGGGTCCTCTGCCCTGCCCCCTCCTCCTCCCTACAGTGGTTGAGTGCCTGCTGTGTTCCTGGGTCTTTAGCCGTGACCCGGTAGACCCTGGGCGCTCACAACTGCTGTGCTCCTGGGAAGGCTGAGGAAGGAGGTGGCCCCTTGGGCAGCTTGGTGAAGGCCCCACCAGGCTGGGAGCTTCAGGCGGGAGAGGGTCTTGGGAGGCCAGGACAGTGGGACTGTGGCCTCAGCCCCGTGGGGCTTGCACTGTTGTGATGACTCACGTTAGCTCTGCATGCAACTCCTAAGAACCGTTACATCCTCAGTGCCTTTTGGGAGAGGCCTTAGCAGATGTCACCGAGAACTCTTCTATCTTTATAACTGCCTGTCGGGGTGGGCCCTCTGGAGGACGAAGCAGAGGACTCAGGTGCTCTTCGGGGGGCTGCCCGCAGCACTGCTGGGAGACCTCACCACACCTGCTGTGTCCTCGGGAACTTGGGGTGTAGTTGTTCCTCGACGGAGGTCAGATCCTGTGAGAGGTCCAGGGAGAGGACACACATGGTCGGCCTCGCCCTCCATCCTGCCCCCACATAGGGCCAGAGCACCCCAGCATCATCACGGTCAGCAAAAGCACCGCAGTGCTAGAGTATGCTACCGGGGCCAGGCTGGCTTGAGTGCGGGTCAGAGGCAGGACAGGTGCAGGCAGCAGAGTCACCAGGACACAATGGGGTCTTGCCTGGCCACGCCCCTCCTGGCTCTGGGCTCCTCTGCTCCCAGAGGAGGGCACAGGTGGCCCTGGTCTGCCCCCAAGCCTGGCCCTGCCTCCCACAGCTGCCAGAGCTGTCCCAGCCAGGGCAGTGACCACAGCCTGGTAGCCACGGGGCTCCTGACGTGTGGCCAGTGCAAGTGAGGGGCACACATTTTAGTTTTGTGTAATTTTAACAAATTTAAGTTTGAAAACTCAAACCAAATTCTGTCCTTGAGAAACTCTTAAGCATATTTGAAACAACTCGGGTATGTGAGTATGTGAGTATGTATGTATGTATGTATGAGCATGTATGTATGTATGTGAGTATGTAGGTATGTATATGTGTGTGAGTATGTATGTGTATGTATGTATGTACATGCATGTATGTGATTATGTATGAGTATGCATGTGACTATGTATGTATGTATTATGTATGTATGGGAGTATATGTGAGTATGTATGTATGAGTATGTATGTATATGTATGTATGTGAGCATGTATGTGAGTGAGTATGTATGTATGTATATGTATGTATGTGAGTATGTATGTATGTAAGTATGTATATATGTGAGAGTATGTATGAGTATGTATGTGAGTATGTATGTATATGTATGTATGTGAGTATGTATGTATGTATGTATGAGTATGTATGTATGAGTATGTATGTATGACTATGTATGAGTATGTATGTATGAGTATGTATGTATGTATGTATGTGAGTATGTGTGTGAGTATGCTTTTTCGGCCTTTTCAGCTTTTTCAGCCTTTTCAGCTTTTTTTCTCTTTCGATGACTCTGTCACCAGGCTGGAGTGCAATGGCGTCATATCGGCTCACCGCAACCTCCACCTCCCGGGTTCAAGCAATTCTCCTGCCTCAGCCTCCCGAGTAGCTGGGACTACAGGCGCGCACTGCCATGCTCAGCTAATTTTTGTATTTTTAGTAGAGACGGAGTTTCACCGTCTTGGCCAGGCAGGTCTCAAACTCCTGACCTCAGGACCTACCTGCCTCAGCCTCCCAAAGGGCTGGGATTACAGGTGTGAGCTGCTGCTCCCGGCCAGAAAAAGGAAGTTATTTTCCATGGCAGTGCGGCATCCACCTTGAGATGTGTTCAGAGACTTAATGAGAGGGTGTGAGATTAACCCTTTTTGCTGATCATGTGTAACATTTCGGTCAACCTGAGTTAGAAAACATCCTTGAAATGAATCCCACCTGGTTTCCCTCTGGACTGTGGCTGCGGCACTCCCAGGCCTGGGCCCTGTAGTCAAGGCTGGTCCCAGGCAGGCAGCCTTGACATGCCCTTTCTTCCCAGCAGATGCAGCTGGACCCCCACAAGCTGGAGGTGGGTGCAAAGCTGGACCTGTTTGGCAGACCCCCTGCCCCAGGCGTGTTTGCTGGGTTCCACTACCCGCAGGACCTGGCTCGGCCCCTCTTCCCCAGCACAGGTGAGACTGGAGTCGGGAGCCAAGTGGGGGAGGGGGACAGAAACCTCCCTTTGCCCCCCACCTCTGCCACCAGCCTCCCCAGAGTGCATGGGTACATGGGGCTGGTGCTCCTGCCACCATGTCCCACCCAGTGTGTCCCGGCAGGCCTTCAGCCCACTTCACGTGGCTCTGAGGTGGCTGGTCCTGGGTGCCCCTCTCTGCAGCTCCATGTTCTGACCCCCCTGGCTGCACCAGAGGCAAAGGAGTGGGTGGCAGGGCCAGGCCCACGCCAGGCTGCCCTCTTCCATCTCCCAGCCTAGCTTTCCCAGGAGGAGTCTGGCCTCTTGCTGAACAGCAGGAAGCTGCTCCCATGGCTGGGCCCACCCCCCAGTGCACCTTTCTCACGTGCACGGCTGCTCCGGGGGTCTCACGACTGGTCTGACTGTGATGATTTCCTGGGAAGAGTCCCAGAACTTGGCGTGTGCTGTCCTCTGTGGCACGGCTGGGGTGGGGTCTGTGGGGAGTAGTGAGGGCTTCCCTGCCCTTCAGAGTCCCCCAGCCCCCCAGCAGCGCATGTGACATGAGTGTCACCTGACAGCCGCATACATAACACGTGTGTGTACACATGAAGCATCCACATACAGATGCAGCTACATATACACCTGTGTGTGCACACCCATGAAGTATTCCCATCCACATGCAGACATGGCTAACACACACGTGCACATGTGAGGCATCCCCATCCACGTGCAGACATGGCTACATACACAGGTGTGCACAGACGTGAGGCATCCACATCCACATGCAGACATGGTTACATGTGTGCACACGCGTGAGGCATCCACATCCACGTGCAGACATGGTTACATGTGTGCACACACGTGAGGCATCCACATCCACGTGCAGACATGGCTACATATGCACACGTGCACACGTGAAGCATCCACATGCAGACATGGCTACATACACAGGTGTGCACACGTGAGGCATCCACATCCACGTGCAGACATGGTTACATATGCACACGTGTGCGCATGTGAAGCATCCACATGCAGACATGGCTACACACGTGTGCACACACGAGGCATCCACATGCAGGCATGGCTACACACATACGTGCATGGGTGTGCACATGTGAAGCATGCCCATCCATATGCAGTTGACTTGAACCGCACAGAGGCTGGGGCACTCCCCACCACGCAGTTGAAAATCCAAGTATAACTTTGACTCCCCAAAACCTTACTTCAGGCTACTGTTGACAGGAAGCCTTACTGATGGTGTAAGCAGTTGATGACACCAATTGTGTGTTTCACGTACAATGAACTGTATTCTTTTTTTTTTTTGAGATGGAATTTCGCTCTTGTTACCCAGGCTGGAGTGCAATGGTGCGATCTCGGCTCACCGCAACCTCCGCCTCCTGGGTTCAGGCAATTCTCCTGCCTCAGCCTCCTGAGTAGCTGGGATTACAGGCACGCGCCACCGTGCCCAGCTAATTTTTTGTATTTTTAGTAGAGACAGCGTTTCACCATGTTGACCAGGATGGTCTCGATCTCTAGACCTCGTGATCCACCCGCCTCGGCCTCCCAAAGTGCTGGGATTACAGGCGTGAGCCACCGCGCCCGGCCATGGACTGTATTCTTACAACAAAGTAAAGTAGAGAAAAGAGAACCTCACAAAGCAGCATGAGCAGGCATGGTGGTGCTCACCCAAGGTCCCAGCTACTCAGGAGGTGAGGCGGGAGGCTCGCTGGAGCCCAGGAGGCCAAGGTTGCAGGGGGCCATGATGGTTGCAGTGGGCCCTCCAGCCTCAGCAACAGAGCAAGACCCTGTCTCAAAAACAAAATCTCATAGAGAAGAGAAAATAGATCTGCCACCCATTGTATGGAAGAGGATAAAGACATTTATCCTCATCCTCACACTGAGGGGGCTGAGGGGGAGGAAGGGCTGGTCTTGCTGTCGCAGGCAGCAGGGATGGGGAAAATCCATGTCCAGGTGGGACCGCACAGTTCAAACCCGTGTTGTTCAAGGTCAGCTGCATGCACACACACACACACGGGTGCACGTGGGCTTTGTGCTGCCTGTCCTGCCGGAACCTTCCCCAGCACCCACGTGTACACACTAGTGTAGACAGTAGTGGCATCCCACTAGTCTGGGTTTCTCGGAAGGCAGACGTCGAGGCTGCAGTTTCTGGCTGTCTGCAGTCTGGCTCAAGCCCCCAGGATACCTGCTCCTTCCCTGCCTCCCTGCCCTCCTCTGGACCCCTGGTGGCTGTCCCTCGGTGTCCTGCAACGTGGGGCCTCCTCTGTCCTCCAGTGCTACGTCTTTCTCCATGTGCGTGTGGGCACAGGTCTTGATGTCTGATGGGAGGCAGGATAATTCCTTGGTGCTCTTTTTTCTCTTCCGTATAAACTTCAAATCGGCCTGTTAGGTTCCAGCTTTTGCTGGAATTGAGTTAAAGGTATATACGTGAACCTGACAGGAATTTGTGTCTCTCTCTATCACTTCCCTATTCCTGAACATCCACAGCTCATTTATTTGGGCCTTAGTAGAGCCATTCGTTTTACTAATACTGTGATCGGGATTTTTCAGTGCATTGCTGAAGCTGTCCCTAGAGAATAGGGCGTATCTGTTTTGCACGCGTGGGTGCCACCTCTTGATTTTGAGACTGGCAGTCTTGCTACATTCTTAGCAATGCAAGGAAATCTGTCAGTGCCTTCCCACTTCCTGTGTAGACAGCCCTGTGTAGGGGCAGACTGTTTGCTCCCTGTCTAAACTTGCCAGGTGGCTGGAGTCGCTCCCGAGTGCTTTGTCAGGGAGTTTCCTTTCCCGAACTGCCACGGAGGCCGCGTTAGCCTTCTTCAGTGAGTCCAGGAGTTTCCGCTCTTCTGTTCTCTGGAAGAGCTCTTGTGAGATCCCGTCCTCACCGCTTCGAAGGCTTGGCAGGCTCACATTTCAAGTCCAAAGTGCTGATTTTCTTCCCCTCGGGTATGGTACTCCTCAAGCTCTCTGTTTCTTCCTGAGTCCGTTTTCGTAACCTGAGTGTTTCTAGGAAGTTGATTTTGTGCCGGCCCCATAGCTGTCGGTGTTCATGGGTCACGCCGGAACGCCGCGGGCCGAGTCATTCTTAATATTGCTTGGCTGTGCTGTCTCTCTTTTTCCCTTCACTAATCTCACCAGCAGTTTGTCTGTTTCACCATTATTTTATTTTATTTATTTTTGAGATAGAGTATCACTCTGTCACCCAGGCTGGGGTGCGGTGGTGCGATCTCAGCTCACCGCAACCTCCACCTCCTGGGTTCCAGCCATTCTCCTGCCTCAGCCTCCCAAGTAGCTGGGATTAACAGGCACGCGCCACAACGCCCAGCTAATTTTTGTATTTTTGGTAGAGATGGGGTTTCACTATGTTGGCCAGGCTGGTCTCAAACTCCTGACCTCAGGTGATCCACCTCAGCCTCCCAAAGTGCTGGGATTACAGGCGAGAGCCACGGCGCCTGGCCAGTTTCCCCCGTATTTAAAGGGGCAGCTTTGTTCCTGCTGCCCTCTCTGTGTGTTCTCCTGTGTGTTGCTCACTTTCCTGGCCTTTTCTAGCTTGATCCGGAGGTTGAGAACATTAATTCTTGAGCTTCGCACAGCGCCGGCATTTGAGGCAATTCGATTTCCTCCACCGCCTGCTCCGCTTCGACATCTGTTTCCATAGCATGGGGCAGGCCGGTCTTTGCTAGTTTAGATCAGTGCCATTAGCTTTCATGCCGGAGCTCAGTGGCGACCAGAAGCTGTGGACAACCTGCAGCATCCCACGTGGGAGCTGTGAGCACCCCGCTGTGGGGTCCCCAGGATCAGGGCTGGGAGGGAGCTGCAGTAACCTAGAGATGACGCCCTCGTGGTCTTTACCAGAAACCTGCCCTGTGCAGTGAGGGAGGCCCGCCCCCAGGTGCAGGGCAGTCCCTGACCCAACAGCATTGAGTCTCCTCCCAGGGCCAGGGGTCTCAGAGGGTTGTTGGGGGGCCAGGGCCAATGTCGTCATGGCGCTGTGGGCTGGGCCAGTGCCTAAGAATGCCACGAGGGGCTCCCATGTGCAGCACCCAAGACAGAATCATGTCCATCTGGGCCTGAGGCCCAGCACCACAATAAGAAGTGAGGACCCTTTATCAGCTCCCAGGTGAAAACTCTGGGATAAGAGCTTCAGGATTGGTCCGATCCAGGTGCATCCTACCTGTGGACTTTGTCTCTGCCCACGTTGGGGCTCCTCTGCTCTGAGGGCTGCACTGCACTCAGTGCCTCCCTCCCTTCCCCCCTCGAGGTCCCAGGATGGCTGCTGCTGCAGCCCCAAGTCAAACCTCCGGATCGTGGGGTAGATTCCACCTCCTGACTGACTGGACACATTTCACCCCTCAGGGCATGTGAGAAAATGGGGGGTGGAGGTTCACAGAGGAAATTGGGGTTCTCCCGTGAGCAGAGCTGTACATGGGAGGCCCTGGTGCTCTCTTCTGGCCCCTGAAATCTGGCTGCCACCCCTAGGTGCCACCCATCCTGTCTCCAGCCCATTTGGACCCTCAGCCCATCCCAGCAGCTTCCTGCCCACTGGCCCCCTGACAGGTGGGTGCCTCATGCCAACGAAGCCTGGCTGGTTCCTCAGTGACCTTGGGGTGGGGAAAGTAGGTGGGAGGAAAGGTGGCCCCCAGCCCCGGGGAGCCCCTTGGGTCTTGTGGGCAGCACCCACCAGCCCCAAAGCCTCTGCAGCAGCCCCACCCAGCCAGGTGGAAGCCACAGCCCACGCCTCACAGACCTGAGTCCTCGGTTACCCCCACAGACCCTTTCAGCAGACCAAGTACCTTCGGGGGCCTCGGGAGCCTGAGCAGCCACGCCTTTGGGGGACTGGGCAGCCACGCACTGGGTGAGTGACCTGGCCCGTGCCCTCCTCCCCCTCCCCCAATGCCCGCACCCCTACCCCACACCTGTGTCCTCTGCAGGAACCCCAGTGCCTGGCTGACCTCCCTCCTCTCTGGGCTGGGCCTCCTTGGGGTACCCCCTTCTCAGTGTCAGCCCATCTGAAACCCCTACTGGATTCTTCTTGGGAGGGGACAGACCTGACCTCATGCTCCCTGGCCTCTGTTCCCAGCTCCCGGCGGCAGCATCTTTGCCCCTAAGGAGGGCTCCTCTGTGCATGGCCTGCCCAGCTCCCATGACGCCTGGAACCGGCTGCACCGGGCACCGCCTTCCTTCCCTGCACCACCCCCGTGGCCCAAGTCTGTGGATGCTGAGCGGGTGTCAGCCCTGACCAACCATGACCGAGAGATGGACAACGGCAAGGAGGAGCAGGAACGGTGAGTGCCCCTCAGTAACCCTCCCCTCCCCAGTTCCTTCTCCCCCCACCAGTTCCCTCTCTCCTCCATTATCCTCCCCTCCCCAGTTCCCTCTCCCCCCCAGTTCCCCTCTCTCCCCCAGTTCCCCTCTCCTCCCCAGTTCCCTCTCCCCCAGTTCCCCTCTCTTCCCCAGTTCCCTCTCCCCCAGTTACCCTCCCCTCCCCAGTTCCCTTTGCCCTCCATTATCCTCCCCTCCCCAGTTCCCTTTGCCCTCCATTATCCTCCCCTCCCCAGTTCCCTCTCCCCCAGTTCCCCTCCCCTCCCCAGTTCCCTCTCCCCCAGTTACGCTCCCCTCCCCAGTTCCCTCTCCCCCCCAGTTCCCCTCCCCTCCCCAGTTCCCTCTCCCCCAGTTACGCTCCCCTCCCCAGTTCCCTCTGCCCTCCATTATCCTCCCCTCCCCAGTTCCCTCTCCCCCCCAGTTCCCCTCCCCTCCCCAGTTCCCTCTCCCCCAGTTCTCCTCCCCTCCCCAGTTCCCTCTCCCCCACCTCGTCAGCTCTCTCCCCACCCACCCCCTGTCCAGCTGAGTGCTGAGCCTGGTAGACACAGCCAAAGCTCTGCTCCTGCGTCTCCTCCCTGGGGTGGGGAGTGAAGGCCAGGCCCTGGGGAAGGGTGAGGAGGGTAAAAGACCCCCCCACAGGCAGCCCACACCTGCTGTCAGGGGACCTCCAGGTAGCTGCGGTCCCACGCACGCACAGTGTGTGATGGAGGAGTTCTGCAGCGCCTCTGCAGGAGGTCCCTCCTTTAGGGGAACAGGGGAGGGGCCGAGGGGGTCCCAGGTCGCTGCAGGCCACTCATCCTGTTTCTGTCTCAGCTGCCCGGCGCGGGGTCGGGAGGGGTGCGCGGGTCTGGGGAGCCCTGGGTGCTGAGGGGCCGCCGCCAGGTGGTGGGTCTCGGGAGTGACCCGGTCCCGCCTCGCCGCCCCAGGGACCGGCTGGAGAAGACGCGCCTGCTGAGCCGGGCCTCGCCGGCGACCCCCACAGGCCACCCCGTCAGCGGCCTCCTGCTCCGCGGCCAGGGCGAGCTGTGCCGGGCTGGGGTCCCTGCGGAGCGCGAGGCCGAGCCCCGGGTCAAGGAGAGCCGCTCGCCCGCCAAGGAGGACGGCGCCAAGACGGCCACGCGCGCCTCGCCCCACAGCGACGTGAAGGTCAAGGAGGAGCGCGGGGAGGAGGAGGCGCCTGAGCCCGCGGGGGGCGCCTTGCACCCCGCACCCCTGCAGCTGGGCCTGGGCGCGGGCTTCGCGTGGGAGCCGCTGCGCGAGCCCTTCCGCGGCCTGGAGCTGCCCCGCCGGGCCTTCCCCGCCGCTTCCGCCGCTCCGGGCCCTGTCGCCCTGTTCGAGCCCCCGGAGCGCCCCTACCGCGACCGCGAGCCCCACGACTTCAGCCCGGATCGCCTGCGGGCGCCGCCCCCCGCCCCCGCCCCCGCCCTGGACGCCGCGCTGCTGCCCCCGCTGGGCGCCCTGCACTTCCCACGCCTCGCGCCCGCCGCGCTGCACAACGGGCTCCTGGCGCGGACCCCACCTGCCGCCGCCGCGCTCGGCGCACCGCCCCCACTGGTGACCACGGCCGGGCCCCCCACGCCCCCCGGGCCGCCGCGGAGCCGGACTACCCCGCTGGGGGGCCTCGGGCCGGGCGAGGCGCGCGACTACTCGCCATCCCGCAACCCCCCGGAGGTGGAGGCGCGGTAGTCCCGGGCCCTACCCGAGAACTCAAGCACAGCCCCCGCCAGCCCCGCCGCCCTCCCGGGGTCGGCCTTTCCGAGGGTGAGGTTTTGGTTTCCGAGTTTGGGATTCGCCTCTTGGCAGAAAAAATCGTGTTTGTACTTTTTCCCCGACAGATGAGAAGGGTTTTTAATGGAATTTTTTTAATGTATTTTTCTTAATTTTATGCTCTTTAGACATTTAAAAGAACCAAAAAGGAAACTTTGGCTTCTTCGTTTTCGGTTGGGATTTGCAGTTTGATGGCCTCAGATCCTTCTCCAGATCCCCAGGGTTTCTTTGTCTTATTTATGGAGAAAAACCGGTCACTTTGTCCAGCGCACTGTGAGGCCCCACTCAGGCCAGCCCTGGCCCCCTTGGTACTTGGAACCGAAGTTACAGATCTATATTAAAATAATAATAATGTACAAACCTTTGTGTTTTGCCTTATTCTATGATGCAGAAGTGTGAGGATATTTTGGTTTGTTTTTTTTAAAAAGCAAACGAAACGTGTAAATAGTCTGTTGATAGAAATATATGACGTCATTAAATTCTTAACCTGGATAGACTTTATAAAAACGGTTTCCAGAAACCCCTCTGCCTGTTTATCTAGCAAACAGGGTCACAGAAACCCAGGCGCTGCCAGTTGTAAACGTTCTCGGAAACGAACCGGCAGCAGCTTTCCGTCAACTATGCAAGTGCTCCTCGGCAGGCGGGTGGCTCTGTTGGTGGCGGAGGAATCTTCCTCCTGCGACTTCCCAGCCCCTGGGTCCGTGGAGGGGTTGGGTCCCCCCAGCAAGGCCCCTGGGCCAGGAGAGCAGCACTCCTGGGTGGCTCGTGTGCTGTGGGCTTCAGGACTGGCTGGCTCCAGCCGCAAGGGCGATTCTGTGGACCTTTGTGTGGATGGTGCAGTGTTCTCAAAATCTGTAGACCAGACTGGTGGACTTTTAGAAGTGCAAGAGTCTGAAGGCTGATTACAAAAAAAAAACCAAAAACAAACACCGCTGTTGTGTTCTCCCATCTGAGGCGTTGCCTCAGCATGGTTCCTGCCTCCCAGGCCCTTGGGTTTTGCCCTCGCCCACATGAGCCCCCCATGTCCTGCCTTCCCCGAGGCCTTCTGTGTTCCCTGCTGGGGTTCCCAGCACCCCGGGTCAGCCTCTAGGCCACTTGCTTTGTTCAGTTCTGTTTCAGCCACGTTTCCACAGTGGACCCCGCTTGTTTTATTCTGTCCCCGTGTCGATCAGTGACTATAAATACAGCCTTGATTTGGATGAAACTGTGGTCGTGTGTTCTGTGTGGCGTTGGGGGGCTGGGCTCGCCCAGGCTGACCCCTACAGCCGTAGGTTCCTCCTGCGGATGCCTTGGAATGCCAGGCACCTCGGTGGCCCCATGCTGTTGGGTGCTGTCACCCCGGAAGTGAAGCACAGCAGGTCCTGGCTTCCTGGCCCCACTGCCACCCCAGATCTTCCGAGGCCCCTCCCCCCAGCGCCACCTCTTCCCCCAGCACCCGCTCCCCACCAATGCAACCTCTCCCCCCAGTGCCCCCTCTCCCCCGTCAGCACCACCTCCCCCCAATGCCCCCTCTCCCCCAGTACCCCTTCTCTCCCCGTGCCCCCTCTCCACTCCAGCACCATCTCTTTCCCCCAGTGCCACCTCCTCCCAGCACCCCCTTTCCCCCGTGCTTCCTCTTTCCCCCCAGCTTTCCCCTTCCCCCCCAGCGTCCACCTCCCCCCAGTGCACCCTCTCCCCCCAGCGCCACCTACCGCCCATGCCTCCTCTCTCCCCCCAGCGTCCCCCTCCCCCCAGTGGCCCCTCTCCCCCCAGCGCCACCTACCGCCCATGCCTCCTCTCTCCCCCCAGCGCCTCCTCTCCCCCCCCAGCGCCACCTACCGCCCATGCCTCCTCTCCCCCCCCAGCGCCACCTACCGCCCATGCCTCCTCTCCCCCCCCAGCGCCACCTACCGCCCATGCCTCCTCTCTCCCCCCAGTGCCCCCTCTCCCCCCAGCGCCACCTACCGCCCATGCCTCCTCTCTCCCCCAGCGCCCCCTCTCCCCCCCCAGCGCCACCTACCGCCCATGCCTCCTCTCTCCCCCCAGCGCCCCCTCTCCCCCCAGCGCCACCTACCTCCCATGCCTCCTCTCTCCCCCCAGCGCCTCCTCTCCCCCCCCAGCGCCACCTACCGCCCATGCCTCCTCTCTCCCCCCAGCGCCACCTACCGCCCATGCCTCCTCTCCCCCCCCAGCGCCACCTACCGCCCATGCCTCCTCTCTCCCCCCAGTGCCCCCTCTCCCCCCAGCGCCACCTACCGCCCATGCCTCCTCTCTCCCCCCAGCGCCCCCTCTCCCCCCCCAGCGCCACCTACCGCCCATGCCTCCTCTCTCCCCCCAGTGCCCTCTCCCCCCCCAGCGCCACCTACCGCCCATGCCTCCTCTCTCCCCCCAGTGCCCTCTCCCCCCCCCAGCGCCACCTACCGCCCATGCCTCCTCTCCCCCCAGCGCCACCTACCGCCCATGCCTCCTCTCTCCCCCCAGTGCCCCCTCTCCCCCCAGCGCCACCTACCGCCCATGCCTCCTCTCTCCCCCCAGTGGCCCCTCTCCCCCCAGCGCCACCTACCGCCCATGCCTCCTCTCTCCCCCCAGTGCCCCCTCTCCCCCCAGCGCCACCTACCGCCCATGCCTCCTCTCTCCCCCCAGTGCCCCCTCTCCCCCCAGCGCCACCTACCGCCCATGCCTCCTCTCTCCCCCCAGTGGCCCCTCTCCCCCAGCGCCACCTACCGCCCATGCCTCCTCTCCCCCCAGCGCCACCTACCGCCCATGCCTCCTCTCCCCCCCCAGCGCCACCTACCGCCCATGCCTCCTCTCTCCCCCCAGCGCCCCCTCTCCCCCCAGCGCCACCTACCGCCCATGCCTCCTCTCTCCCCCCAGCGCCCCCTCTCCCCCCAGCGCCACCTACCGCCCATGCCTCCTCTCTCCCCCCAGTGGCCCCTCTCCCCCCAGCGCCACCTACCGCCCATGCCTCCTCTCTCCCCCAGTGGCCCCTCTCCCCCCAGCGCCACCTACCGCCCATGCCTCCTCTCCCCCCAGCGCCACCTACCGCCCATGCCTCCTCTCCCCCCCCAGCGCCACCTACCGCCCATGCCTCCTCTCTCCCCCCAGCGCCCCCTCTCCCCCCAGCGCCACCTACCGCCCATGCCTCCTCTCTCCCCCCAGTGCCCCCTCTCCCCCCAGCGCCACCTACCGCCCATGCCTCCTCTCTCCCCCCAGTGGCCCCTCTCCCCCCAGCGCCACCTACCGCCCATGCCTCCTCTCCCCCCAGCGCCACCTACCGCCCATGCCTCCTCTCCCCCCCCAGCGCCACCTACCGCCCATGCCTCCTCTCTCCCCCCAGTGCCCCCTCTCCCCCCAGCGCCACCTACCGCCCATGCCTCCTCTCCCCCCCCAGCGCCCCCTCTCCCCTTCAGGTCCACTGGGCTCTGCATAGAAGGTGCTCTTTCTTCATGCCCTTGTGCCAGAAAGTTCCGGCTGGACATGGACTTGTGTCCCTGTGGGATTGGTCTTGACCTGGCTATGCCTGGGTGAACAGGAGAGGGCAGGAACCAGGTGCAGAGGTGGCAGCCCCCACTCTCCAGTGTGTCAGTGCCAGGCCCACCTGCCATGAGTGACGGTGGGGAGAGCTCCCGGTGCACCCCTGGCCATGACATGGGCATCACCCCCACCCTTGGGTAACCCCCCCAATGGGCACTGAGGAAGGAGAACTGTCCAGAACCCAGGTGTAACTAGTGCCTGAAGAATATCTGAGTTTATAGTGTTATTACTCAGCTATTTCCTTTATATAATCTTTCATATATAATCATGGTAGTTTATAGAATTAGTGCCTGACGTGTAACTGACTGCTCACATATATCCAGCTTATATAGTCATACTTAGTACTTACATCTCACACTCAGTTCTAGATAATCTTTCTATATAATCATCTAGGTTTTGTGGTCGGAGCTGCAGCAACACATTTAGTGTGATTTATACGATCCTTCCATAGAACCATATAGCAGTCTGTAGTAGGAGGAATGCCCAGAGCAGTCACAGAACAGAAGCAGCACATGGGAAAACAGCCAGACCAGGACGAGAACCAAAGCCCCAGGCGGTCGCGTCCCTGCCTGAAAGGGCAACGCTGTATGGCAGGCTTGGAGCAAGAGCCTCTCCTCCTGATAGAGGAGCTGTAGCACCTGCATCCAGTTCCTGTGGCAAGTCGGCCTCAGGCCTGAGATCCCGGAAGTAACCGAGGGAGAAGAACCCCTCTGATGTGGCCAGTCACAGCGGCTGTTCACCCTGTCAGTCTTTTCTCACTTCTGTGCTAGCTCAAAGAATCATCCCATAAATATCTTAAGAGGAGAGCACAAGTCTGTCAGCTCCCACTGCACTGGCTTACAGTATCCTTCTATTAGAAATCCGTTAGGTCTCCAGCCCTCAGATAAGAAGTGTCATGCCTGACACCTGTTGCACACAGCCCACCTCCTTGCCTCGGTGACCTAATGAGGGTGGACCCCTTTTCTGTACACGACCCTCTACTACTGCGCACGGCACGGCCCCCTACTGTGCACAGCCCACCTCTCTGCCCAGGTGACGTAATGGGGTGGCCCCCTCACTTGTGACTCACATGATTATGTATGACCTATTACTAAGCCTATAGATGATGACCTCACTCAGGACCCTTTACCTAATAAATACAGACGCTTCTGGGCATTGGGGGCTCTCACTGATCTCCACTCACAGGTGGCGCAGCCCCCCCCAGTCCAGCTGCTCTTCAGTTCTTCAGTGCGCTGTCTCCTTAGTTCTTGGATCCTGCACCTCAGCACAGCCTAAGGGACACCCCACGACCCTGTGGGGCCAACAGCCCTACAGACCACTGTAGCCTGGACCGAGGAGGGACTGCTGCAGCCTGGACGGAGGACCCAGACCCTCCACCCTGCTTCAGTCATGGGAGGAGCCCCGGATTGAGGGACAGTCTAGAAACCCCACCTGTATCCTCCCAAACCACTCAGGTCTCAGCACGGGAGGAAGCTGGGGCGGTGTGGCGGGCTCTGGGCTGGAGGGAGGGCACTTGGGGGGCGTTTTAGTTGGGGAGACCCTGAGGTCTTCCTGGGAGCTGAGGTGGGAACACTGGCGGGGGGCGCTCTAGGTGTGTGGGGCAGGCAGAGGGACTCCTGCGGGCCGGGGGGCCAGGTTCCGAGCTGCAGGACCCCAAATGCCCACTAGAGGGTAGCAGTGCTCTGCGGCCCTGGACCCCCCTCCCAACCACAGCCAGTTCTGGAGAGTGGGGCTGGGCCAGGGTGGGGCAGGGGCTAGGCTACCCTCCAGAGGCAGCACAGGTGGGTGGGCAGCCCCTCCTGATACCCCACAGGACTGGCAGGAAGACTGCCAGGATGCTCTGCTGC